TAGGATATTGTCTAAAATTTTTTGGAGTGCTGGTTTGGTATTCATGAAGCTCCTAAGGTTCTCTTTGTCATGAAAGTATCTTACTTCTCCATCAATTTTGAAAGATAGTTTTGGAGGGTACATCAATCTGGGTTGGAGGCTGTTTTCCTTTAGGGATTGAAATACGCCACTCCAAGCTCTTCTTGCCTTGAGGGTTTGTGTTGAGAAGTCTGCTGTGATTCTGATGGACTTTCTTTTGTATGTTATTTGTTTCTTTTCTCTAACTGCTTGTAGAATTTTGTTCTACTGTTGGGTTTCTGGAATCTTAACTATTATAAGCCTATGTGTAGATTTTTGTTTTGATCAAGGCTAGTTGGAGTCCTATATGCCTCACTTATCTGTATGTCAAGTTCTTTTCCCCTGCTTAGGAAGTTTTCTGCCATTACTTCTGTGAACAGTTTTTTTATGTCATCGGCACTGTCTCCTGTTTCTTCTTTGACTCCGATCAGTCTTATGTTATTTTTCTTTGCGTCGTCTAGCAGCTGCTGGATTGATTTCTCGAGGTCCCTTACTAGTTTAAAGAAAGTTTTCTTTTCCTGGTCACCAATTGCAATCTTATCTTCTGTATCTGAAATTCTGTCCTCACATTGGCTCATTCTGCCGCATAAACTTTCAATGGAGTTTTTAATCTCCTGGAAATCTGTGTGCATGTTTTATGGATTCCACTTGTTTCCTATGTTGGGATTGCATCATGTTCCTCAGATCCTCTATTTTTTTATCTGTGTACTCTCTAGATTTATTAATCATGTCTTGCACGATAGACACAATCTCTGCTGTTATCTGAGAAATTATTTCTGATTTCATTTTTTTCCAGATCCTGTTTCATCGCCAGTTCAGGGAGTCCAAGTGGTTAAGTATCAGATTGCTCCATCTTGTTTCCCTTTGGGGTTGCTTTAGGTGATCTAGAAGTCTGGTTTTGAGACTTGTTTATGTGTCTTCTCAATTCAACAGGGTTGGAGGGGGTGTGCTGCTGGCGCCCTTGTGGCTCACCTTCTCAGCCCTGGGGGCTGTGGTACGGGTGTCCGGAAAGTTCACCTCCTCTCGAAGATTTTAAATATATAAGGGTGTGTATTTGCAAATACTATGCCATTTTATACAAGGGATTTGAGCATCCTCAGAGTTTGGTTTGTATGGGGATCCTAGAACCACTACCTCAGTTGATACCACAACTGTACTTGACATTTTCTACCAGAATAGATCTTAAATGTTTTTGCCACACATACACAAGGGTAACTATTTGAGTTGATGGATACATAATTAGCTTGACTGTGGTTATCATCACATGATGTATACATAAAACAATACTGTATATACTATAAATATATATAATATAAACAATACTGTATACACTATAAATATATATTTGCCAATTATATACCTCAACAGAGTTGGTGAAAAAAGACTATGGCACATATCTCCAATGATCTGAAACAAAATGTAAAGTAGAAATGCAAAGTATGCTTTAGCAGAGGTGTTCACTACTACTTCTGAGGGCCATCAGACCTAAAAGTGGCCCAAGAAAAAGACTGGGATCTGAGCCAGGCTCACTGTTGAAAATAAGAGAACATGCAGAGAGATATCCCCACACCATGAGGAAAGGGGAGCTTTTCAAATGTGCTTTCCCAGGAAGGAAAGAGGAGGCAGCTACACAGTCTCTCAACTGGACATGGGCTGTACTGTCTGCTTGCCTTGTGGCAGACCTTACATACTCCCTTGTCATCAACAAAGAGAAGCCCCGAGCTGAAAACATAAGACTTGGCTCTGAACAAGGGTCCTTGGAGAAGTAAGTGGACAACAGCAAATCCCTAAAGGAGTCAGGGTGACTGCAGAGAAAGAACTCCCAGAAACCAATGCAAGATGAGTCTCTAACTGTAATCCCAAAGTACAGGAAAAAAACTAGCACCTCAAACAATGGCCAATAAAGTCAGCACGACAGGGATCCCCTTTAGGAGAAAGGAAGAAATAGAACAACCTGAAAATAATGTTAAACTGGGGCTTTAAAAACAAGGAGGTGACTGCACAGATTATCTTCCATTAATAATTTAACATTCCTCAAATTAATTTCTTACTATGGAAATCTTGAAGTTCTAAATGTTCAACTCATACTTTCCAGTGATGTGTCTGGAAATGCAGTACTGTCACTATATTTACCAACTGACAGATTACCAAGTACAGTTGTGTCTCCTAAGAGGCAAACAGTGAGAGCTTCCAAGTCTTCCACCCCATCACAGTCTGTGGAAAGACTAGACCTTAATTTGGGACAGTTTGCAAAGGCAGAGTGGATATGGACCACCAAGGTGAACAACACAAATGGGGATACTCTAGCTCTCCTTGGTCAGAGCACTTCTTGTTCTGCACAGTATTAGAGGTTGAACCCTGGGCCTTTACATTGAGCTAAATAAGTGCCTAAGTCGGCCAGGCTGGCCTCGAACTTGCATCCTCCTGCATTAACGCCCAGAGTGCTGGGATTACAGTCATATGCCACTGTGCCTGGTTTGGAACATTTTTACTGACAGAGGATATGATAGCAGATAGACTAAGAAAATGAAGCTGAAAATTAAACATGAGCTGTCTGACTAAAATCATGCTAAAGGAGAAATAAATATATTATATTTTGCACCTCTGCTACAGAGGAAATAGATGTTAAGTATTTGCTTTTATAAACAATGCTATGTGTATGTGAAAGTGAGAGATCCTAAATATAAAAGCTGACCATCTGATGAAGTGACTGAGTGACTCAGTATTCAAAGTCTGAAAAAAATTGAGGCTTCATGCACACTCTTACCCTTTATGCTATAACCTCAAAAAAAAAATGTGAAAATCAAATCAATTGCAAACAAAACACTGAAAACCAGTTTTTGTAGAAGTGAACTGGAGGATTTCATTGAGCTGCTCCAACTCCTCTGGTGCTGTCAGTATGTGGAACTTCAATGAATAAAGTTCTCTCCCTTCTTCAAAGGCACAAATAACAATAGCTGCCACTAGGAACAAAAGGCAGAGTGGCAGAGAGGAAAACCACACATTCCACTCAAATCCCTACTTGACTTTTGGCTTGGGGACAGAAAAACCCCTGTGGAAAGTTGGTAAAGCAGGAAAGCAGTTATCCTCATGAAAACAGAACTCCAGGGAGTCATGATGGATTAGCCAATGACTAATTTTAGTCATTTTATTTGAATCCCAAGCAAATGCTGACAAAGTGCTCCTTCTTAATCCCTCAAAAAAGACCCTAGAGGGCTCTCCAGATGTCAGGCTCACAGCAAACTCTAATTTGTCTAGAATCACAGATTCAAGGGTTGCCAGCTCTCTATCCCAGGCAACGTTCAGATAGAGAGCTCCGTGCCAAGGCAACATAAATATGTGGACGTGTCTGAGGTGGGAGATTGCTCAGTTGTTGCTTCTAAATCTGGAACCAAGGCCAGAACTTCCCATGGGGCAAAGGCAATGCCAATACAGCCAGCAGGTACTGAAAAGCTCCGAAGCCACTCGGATTATAAATCTGACTTTTTGGAAGGCCCCTCTGAGGCAGGAAGAATCAAAATGATTAATGTGCATTTACTGCCATTGATTGAAAACCAACAAACTTTGCCAACAGAGATTTATGAGAAAGGAAATCAAAAAGCAACATACAATTACCTGACAGTTATTTAGAAATTAATTACTCAAGTCCATTTTTCACTTTTTTTTTCCTTTTTCTTCATTTTGCTTTTTTTTTTTCTGTTGACCAGGTTCCCTCAACCCATTACAAATATAAAGCAGATGAGACTTAAATATACTCGGTGGTTTCAAACTATTAGAAGTTTAGTGAAGGGAAGGAAGTGTGTGTGTCAGGGGGGGATATTAAAATTACTGGAAAAGTAACTATTGTTTATTTTGGTTAGCAGGGTATAAAATATGGATGCTAGAGCCAAACAAAGCTTCAGTTTCTCATTTACTGCTTACTAGCTATGTGTCCTTGGGCAAGTAACCTGGTCTGTCTGAGTCAGCTTCCTTATGGGAAAAATGGGAATATTAATACCTAAACTGGAGGGCAGTTGTAAAGATTGAAAAAAAATAATACAAAGAACCAAATACAGTTCTTCCTCTCAGGTAAGCGTGCTAGCTAAATTATTAAAAATTATGTATAACTGATTCTCCTCATATAGTTAAGATGAAAGCAAATGTTCTTCAATGGAGAAGTAGGATTTCCCAAGTAAATGTGCACATTTGAACCTATAAACTTCCCGGTGATTTAAATTTGTATTGTAAACAATGTGCATGAGTTAAACTTTACCTGTCGACTTCCCTGCTTGGAGGAACAGCTACTTGTGCTCCTTGAAGGTGAGACCAATTTTTGGGACACACTGAGGTTCTTCTCATCACTCATCATGAGCAGCTGGTCACTTGGCCTTGAGGGAGTCAAATGCCATCCGAAGGCAGTGGAGCAGAGGATATGGGGTCCCACACAGGCTTGTAGTTCAGCTCTTATCCAATATATTGAAAAACATTTTGGATTACTGAAAGGAAATCCCTAAAACCAAAAGAAAAGGAATTAGAGAGAAGGTCAGAGGTATCAAACATCATCATGCCCAGGCACAAATCACCTGCTTATCCATACTACAGATTACAGAGCCCTTGTGCTTAGCTATACAGAAGCTGTGAAGGAAAAGATGCTTTACACCTTCCTTTTATTGGAAATTTTGTGTAGGTGGTTTTTCATGTAGACTTCAGCGTGTTAAGAGTAATTAATAGGTTTGGTTTTGGCTTCAGAAAGTCAAGGATTTTATTTAACACATTAAATTCAAGTAAATTCTACAACTACCTCTGCATGTTAACCACAGTAAGAAAAATTATATCCAGTCCATCCAGTTACTAGTGTTCAATCTAATTTTTTTTTCTTTTTTTTGGTACCAGGGATCGAACTCGGGACCTTGCGCTTGCAAGGCAGGCGCTGGAACCACTGAGCTAAATCCCCGGCCCTGTTCAATCTAATTTTAATAGAACAGTTTTATATAATTGTCTGGAAATTGGCTAGTTAGATAGGGTATCAAACTTTTGGTTAATTATTAAATATTCAAACTCTTTGAACTCTTTAAACTAAAATCAAAACAATGAAGGAAAATGTCTAAATTTTAGAAAACAAATTAAGGCACTTATAGCCAAAAAAATCCACTGCAATGTTACTACCATCTAATCCACAACACATACACATACACAACAGACCCCTTTTTATATTCATAATAGGTTGAACCTTACAATAAATAAGACCAAAAGCAGATCAACACCAGCCTCTTCATAAAGTTAGTTCTTCTGACTGGGGCATGACTAAGTGTATCTGAATTAGGAGCAAATTAATCTAGTCATAAACTGCCAAGAAACTGTAAAGATATGTTACTAGTTTGTTTAATAACCATGTTAGTCGTCGCTGTTTGAAAAAGGGATAAACAACTAACCTGATGGAAACGCAAGAAGACAGAATGAATGAGTGTGTGCGTGTGTGTCTGCACCTATGTGCGTGTGTGTCCGTGTGAATATGTATGAACTACACTGCTATGGCAACATATTCACAATGGATTAAGAATGCAAACAAAAACCTTCTGCTTGTGTGTGCAATTTATTTATTTATTTATTTTAGGGCTAAGGTCCTGATAAAAGAGAGCATGGAAGAGTGAAATGTGAAGAAGGAAGAGAAATGGAAAATATAATGAGTCACAGGAATTCTGAAACTGTGCCAAAATAGAATGTCATACCCCTGTTACAGAGGCAACTGCTAAAAAGGGCTATCTTTATCTCTTGACCTTGCCAGTCTCACTTTGGAGGGGTCAACTACTCAGGCCAAGGCTGTTAATGGGCCAAGTCTGATTCTCATCAAAGTTGGCACTTATGGTTAAGGCTTCTGCCAGTGCCCCATCCTTGCCTCTCTCTCCCTTCAGGGGAAAAAAGAATCCACAGCTCCTCTGGGATTACTGCCCAGGGAAATATATCTAGTTCATTCCCCAGAACCTTCCTGCTAGTCTCTGCAAAAATTTAGCTAAAAGGACCAAGGGTGGCTTATTGGGCAAAAGAAGTTAAGTCCCAGGAAAAGGATATGCTTAGATAGAGCAGAATAAAGAATGAAGGCAGCAGTGGCCCAACACTAAGGTACCCTAAATGCCAGGGTGTTCACTTGGATAGAGGCAGCTATTATGTCCACCTTAGGGGACTCTGCAGGGCTGGGCTGGATCACCAAAGAAAAGGACTTGGCAGGAACCCCAAGAAACCTTAATGGAGGGGTATATTCTATTCCACGTAGCTGTCTTCATTGTGCTGACCTAGGAAAACAACCATAATGAATTCTTTGAGAGAAATGGGGCCAGAAGCCCAGGCTGCTAATTCAAGAGTCCATGAGAGGATGAGGTGGATACCTGTGAAAGTTCTTTGAGTGCTTTCACCCCACCCAGTGAACCTGCAGTGGAAAATGTCCAACTCAAGGGATTAATTGGTTAGGAAAAAATGTAATAGCTTTCTGGTCACAGACTGCAAATAACTTAAGGATGATAATTTATTTCCACCTATTTTTTTTTAACTTTGTCAATTTTACAGGTATAATTTAAATATACATAACGATCACATTCATCACAGGGCCACCTATTTTTTAATGAAGTATAATTTCAGTACAGTAAAATTAACAGATCTTAACAGTACATAAAGAATTTCACATTTGCAAGTACATACTCTTCACCCAGATCAAGAAGCAGAGAAAAAAAAAAAAAAAGCAGAACTTTCTGCAGCCTTCCTGGAAGGCTCCAGGGCCCCAGGGCAGATCCCTGAAGAGTGCTGAGCACGGTGTCCTTGCCAATGTGCTGGAGGGATCAAACAGGTTCTAAGGCTGCTTTTATGTATTCTGCCTCCAAAAGGTGTTTGATGTGTGGCAGAATTCAGTTTGAGATCTGCTTTCCTGTCAGCAAACCACAGGTTGACAAGGAAAATTCATAACTCTCCCTCTTCTCTAAATCAGGGAGGGCATCAAATCAACCAGGTGTGAAAAGTGAATGCACTTAGGCCAATTTGAAACTGTCCTTCTGGGACCTCTGAAATGATCAGGTTCCTCTCTTGCCACTGCCACCCACCTATGAGAAGTTGATGCACCAGGCCCTGGATGAAAAACCAGTGTTACAGTTAAAAGTCAAATGGTACAAGTTATGTTTTGCTGTGATTTGAATTCTCCTCACCACAATGTATTAAAAAGAAGTCCCCCTCCCCCCAAAATGTCAAATGGTGATAAGTCATACAAACACATGGCAACCTGGGGCTTCCACTGGTAAAAAGAGAATATTTTGCCATGGCTGATTTATAACTTACTTTTAAAGCAAATGCCATTTAGAAAAGAGGAAACTATTTGGGAAAAGATGGAAAGAAGACATGTGCACACAACATATGTGCCTCTGAGGAAGCCAGCTGGGGTTTGCATTGGTGCTTCCTTATTACAAACACTGTACCTTGACAAATGTACTACATGCTTTGGTTTTTATGTATCAAATGGGGAATAATAATATCCACCTTTCAGAGAATTGTGAGGATTAAATGAGAAGATGAGTATAAAGTGTCTAGGTTGCATAGAATAGACAAAAGACATAAATTCCATCACCTCCTTTCCTGACATATGCAGCACATGATAGGAATCTACATCCCTCCTTCCATCAAAAACAAATAGGGCTGGGGATTTAGCTCAGTGGTTCCGCCGCCTGTCTCACAAGTGCAAGGTCCCTAGTTCGATCCCTGGCACCAAAAAAAAAAGGTACAAGTATGAAAAACAAATAGGGACACCACAGAATTTTTAAATGTTTGTGTCTTCCAACATATTAACATTTCCCTGAATCTGGACCACAAGTGTGAACAGACTTTTTTTTTTTTTTGGTACCGGGGATGGAACTCGGGACCTTGCGCTTGCGAGGCAGGTGGCTGAACCACTGAGCTAAATCCCCAGCCCTGTGAACAGACTATTTTTAAATCATTAAAGCAGAATGCTTAGTTTGGAAAAAGACAGATGCAGAAAGACAAAAGCCACATAATTTATTACCACTGGCTGTCCAAAAAAGCAATTTACTATTAACTAGTAGATTGGAAACAGTGACATATAACACAGTTTCTTATTAATCCGTTAGCTTGAGGGTTTGCATGTGTACACTTGGCCAGGTTGGACTTGAGAAACAGATTTGCTTCCATAGTTAGAAATAACTCTCATGACGACCATAGGACATAAAGTTCCAGTAAATTTGCAATTTCCCGATAAAACATAAATAAATGACATCCTGGATTAATGTCAAAAATTGTAACAGGGTACTCACTCATTTCTGGTGTCTAGTAAAATAAATTATTCTAATCCTATATATTCACCTTTTTAGAAATGGAACCCTCTAAAGCACCTTGATTTTAAAAATACATATTAATAATTAGAAGTAGGTCTTTGGTTATTTGGCACAAAGAGCCTCAGACCAGAGATTCAGGACCAGCGGTTTCTGGGAACAGGTTCTAATCACAATAACCTCAGATATTGATAAATGGTCCAGGACCTGTGTGAAGCTCTGGCTGATCTACCTTCACAAGGGTCTGGTGAGGGAGCCAATATTTGACTGTTCTTTGGGGATGAATGCTGACGCTCAGCGTCCAAACAAATCTCCACTCCCATATCTCAACAGCAAACAACGCTCGACAGAACATTTTGCACTGCAGTCTCTTCTGGGAAGACAAGGCTCAAGAGCCCAGTGGCTCCAGTGCTTACTTAGTCTGGCGGGTGCCCACAGGATGTAAACTTTTACCCCTGCTCCTTCCCAGCTCTTCAGAGGCTACCTTTTAAGGGAGATCACATTGTTTGCTCAGAGCTCATCCAGCAACAGAAATACACACGGATGCAAGTGTGAAATGTGGCGGTTTCCACGAGACAATTCTTGACAGTAGCACTATGCTCTAAGTTTGGGTTTTAAACATTTATTTGCCACCACTGAGTAAACAACAAAAAATACAAAAATACCAATCATTCCACAGAATCAGGAAACCCAAGAGGGAATTCTAGCCCCCCCTTTTAAAGCAAACTTCCTTCTCTAACACCACCAGACTATCACTGCTCAACCACATCCTATGACAGAAATAAGGAACTCCATTTCACTACTCTCATTATTTAGAATTTAAATTTGTCTGTCATTTCCATGCCAGAGATTTGCCCTCTGGTATGATGGAGGACAAGATCAACCATTTTTTCACCATAACCTGCATTGAAACCATTACCATTCTTACCTCCCACCCAGCAAATATTTCCTTCTCCACAACAAAGAGGTCCATTTTCATCACATTTCTCATGTGACAGGGACCCTCGTGTGCAGTTCACATTACCAGAGAGCTTGTAACACTCCCTTGATGTAAAGACAAGATGCAGTGTGGTCCGGCCAGGCAAAAGAGAAGACAATTAAGAGTCAGACTTTGAAACTCATGTAATTGGTACTCCACATTTTCATGTGAAATTTTGTCTCCAGTACTTGTTTGGTACTCAATGTA